GCCATAACTAAAAGGTGCAAACGTCATGGAAATTTTCCTGACTTAGTTCAAGATGGCATCTTAAAGTCTGAATAGGTTATCTGTTGTTTATACTAAGTCGCAAGTGTACAGTCGTGGGAGATTCCCGGATTTGGGGAAGTTCCAATAACTTGGGGTTACCACAGTATATTGTGTACTGCAAGAGTCGTAGTATAGCCTTGAAGCTTGTTTATGCATTATTGTTATTGTAATTCGTCTGGGACAAAATGGCGCAAACATATTATGCACTGAGGTTATTGCTTAAAGAAACAGTTATGAAAAACAATATGTTCCATTTCTAACACCTTGTCCGTTTGCAATATCTCTTAAAGACAAAGTACACAGTTTAAGAAATACAACATTTCATTCTAAAACTTGTAATATTTGCATTTGCCCGTAACATCACTACACTTCTACACACACACTATGCATGTATGACAGGGGAGGGAGGGGCGCTGCGAAGATGTTTCGCACAGGGCGCCTAAAGGCCTAAGGCCGGCCCTGCACACACACACACACACACTATTTGGCTGTCTATACACACACACACACTGAATGGCTTTCTATACACACGCTATATAGATCTCTATATACACACACTATATGGCTGTCTATACACACACACACACTATATGGCTGTATATACACACACACACACACACACACACACTATATGGCTGCATACACACACTATATGGCTGTCTATACACACACACACTATATGGCTGTATATACATACACTATATATAAATCTCTATATACACACACACACTCACTATAGCTATGTCAATATGTGAAAGGTTCATATCTGTTTACAAACAGACTATATGGATCTCTCCATATACACACAGACTATATGGCTATCTCTATATGTAAACTGATCCTATCTTTAGACACACACACTATATGGCTGTCTATACACACACATTATATATATATATACACACACACACTATATGGCTGCATACACACACTATATATATATATATATATATATATATATATATATACACACACTATATGGCTGCATAAACACACACTATATATGTATATCTATATACACACACTATATGACTGTCTATACACACACATTATATATATCTCCATATACACACTATATGGATCTCTCCATATACACACAGACTATATAGCTATCTCTATATGTAAACTGATCCTATCTTTATACAAAAAGACTATATGGATCTCTCTATATACACACAGACTATATGGCTATCTCTATATGTAAACTGATCCTATCTTTATACACACAGACTATATAGCTATCGCTATATATACACACAGACTATATGGATCTCTCTATATACACACAGACTATATGGCTATCTCTATATGTAAACTGATCCTATCTTTATACACACAGACTATATGGCTATCTCTATATATACACACAGACTATATGGATCTCTCTATATACACACAGACTATATGGCTATCTCTATATGTAAACTGATCCTATCTTTATACTTACAGGCTATATGGATCTCTATATATACAGACACAGACTATATGGCTATCTCTATATATATATAAACTGATCCTATCTTTATACACACGCACACACACTATATGTCTCTCTATATACACACAAAGTACATGGATTTCTTTATAAATTTTGAAATAAACTCAAAAAAGCAAGTGGGGTATACTAAAACATATAATTTAAAAAAAGCCAATTTCAATAAGGTTAGGGCATCTCTACAACATATCAACTGGCATAAACTCCTTAGTGATAAAAACACTGAGGATAAATGGAAACTATTCAAACAAATATTAGAAAGGTTCATTTCTCAGTATGTACCATTGGGTAATAAATATAAAAGAAACAAATTAAAACCAATGTGGCTTAGTAGAGAAGTAAAACAAGAGATTAAAAATAAGAAAAGGGCATTTAAAGCATTTAAATCAGACAAATCAAAGGCATCCTATTTAAGATACAAGGAAGCCAATAACGCTTGCAAAAAGGCAATTAAAGTGGCTAAACTAGAAAATGAGAAATTGATAGCTAAAGAAGGCAAAACCAACCCCAAATTTTTTTTCAAGTACATCATGTAACGGACCGTTTTGCACAAAAGGGAAAAAAAACGCTTAGACGATAATCCCCTTTCAGAGACAGGCACAGCTACTGTAGAATCACCAAAACTCACGAACTGAATACAAGTGAATGCTCCAAACTCCCGAACGGCATACAAGGGAATGCTCCAAACACTCGAACTGCATACAAGGGAATGGTCCAAACACTCGAACTGCATACAAGGGAATGGTCCAAACACTCGAACTGCATACAAGTGAATGCTCCAAACTCTCGAACTGCATACAAGTGAATGCTCCAAACTCCCGAACGGCATACAAGGGAATAAGGTAGCACTCCAAATACATGAACAGGAACCATACGAATTGCTGCTACCAGACGAACAGGAAAAGCTCCCAAGCGGCTTACACTCCTGGCAATCAGTCCTTAGCAGCATACAGTAAATCCCCCCAAAGACGAGACAAGGCTCCGTGTTGAGGGTCAAGCAGTGGTCTGAGGTGCTGGCACACCCAGCCTGGTTTTTATTACAGTGTTTTCAAATACAGGACCGCCCACAGGGAGGTATAAAACAACCAATCACATCACAGTTACATCCCACATATTCCCTCCCCTTATCCTGAGAGGAAACTCAATTACACATACAGTTAAAACAAACTTTCTACCCAACTTTCATAACTCTAAGACCATACATCACATTCACATAAAATTACATATTTGGAATCAATCCATTCAGGGGAGCAACATATTAAAAAATGGCACAAATCAGACAAGGGGTTCAAAAGTTAGTAAAAAGTACTTTGTGACTAAATGAAGCATGGCTTTCTGGCCCAAACCAGTTTCAGAGTCTTCTATCCTGGAGAGTAATTCAATTATCTCCCAGGACAGACACAAGACTCCATTAAGCACATGGTTGCAAAAAGACACAAAACACTTTAAAATACATAAAGTTACAATTTATTACATAAAACACAGACATGTAACATATCCCCAGATAGCTCAGGTCCGAGCGCACATTATTAAGCCAATGGCGCTCAGACCACACAAATACAGTTTAATCGCCATGGAGCCAAAGTCTTTACAGTCAGTTTCATACGAATGGGCTCCATGGGATTCCTATCTGGGGTGTAACACATTCAAACAAATCTACCGAACCCCAGGCAGAAAAGCACAAATTAAGCTTTTCTGCAGGTAAAAAAAGATGTCTTTTAACAGGGGGCCATAGTCCAAAGGCAGCAGGCGAGCAACCAGGCTTCTCCAATGCAATGTGGCGAGATTGGTCTCGTCACACATCAGTTCTAAAAAAAAAAAAAAAAATGAAAGTGTAGGTACACTTGAAACAGAGCTGAGTTTACTAGCTAATGAAGACCAGGAATAAGCAGAAATTTTAATTAACTATTTTTCTTCAGTATATATTAATGAGGATCCTATGGCAAGAGATATGCAAATGATTGCTGGAAAAAAACTTGCAAATAACTTGTGATTGGATAACTCGAGACAAGGTGCTACAGCTATTAAAGAAAATTAATGTAAATAAAGCTCCAGGGCCTGACGGTATTCACCCATGAGTACTTAAGGAGCTAAGTGGGGAAATAAGTGAACCTCTGTATTTAATTTTTCAAGATTCTTTTGTTTCAGGTGTTGTACCGGAGGATTGGAGGAAGGCAGATGTTGTTCCTATATTTAAAAAGGGTTCAAAATCCTTGCCTGGAAATTATAGAACTGTGAGCTTAACTTCTGTAACTGGGAAAATATTTGAAGGGCTATTAAGGGATACTATTCAGGAATTCATTGGGAAGAACTTTGTTACTAGCAATAATCAGCATGGTTTTATGAAACATAGGTCATGTCAAACTAACCTAATTGCATTCTACGAAGAAGTAAGTAGAAGTATAGATCAGGGTGTTGCAGTGGATGTGATCTACTTGGATTTTGCCACGGCATTTGATACGGTTCCTCACAATAGGTTAGTCTACAAATTAAAAGAAATTGGTCTAGATTAATATTCTTGTTCTTGGGTAGAGTACAACGAGTTGTAATTAATGGTAAATTTTCAGGCTGGACAAAAGTGGTAAGTGCATTTGATACGGTTCCTCACAATAGGTTAGTCTACAAACTAAAAGAAATTGGTCTAGATGAATATTCTTGTTCTTGGGTAGAGTACAACGAGTTGTAATTAATGGTAAATTTTCAGGCTGGACAAAAGTGGTAAGTGGTGTCCCTCAGGGTTCTGTTTTGGGACCACTTCTATTTAACATATTTATAAATGATCTTGAAATAGGCATTGAAAGCCATGTATCAGTGTTTGCAGATGACACAAAGCTTTGTAAAAGTCTCACAATAAAATATTCAAAAAACAATGTAAAAGAATATTTTATTGTGAGACTTTTACATTGTTTTTTAGTTGAGAGCTAAGACTCCAATAAAGTCTTTTATATTTTTTTACAATTTGCTGGTACCAAGATTAATTAATTTATAGATTTTTTTCCTTTGTTTTTGCATATATCCATCTGTATTACGGAGCATTACTATTTCAAGGAATCTCTGAATCAAAGAGTCTGCACAGACATTACTGGACTGTTTATTAATTAGTCTGGTGTATCTATTATATCTGTTACCTTTTATGTTATTTATAGCTAAATTGCTTAAATATTTTGTACAGATACATTTATAAATATACTGAGCTTATCTAAGCTAGAGATTTAGGGTATTTGTATTACTATTGTACCTGTGTATCACGTTTATCTTTGCTTACCTGTCTATTTTCATGAGTAACTTTGTGATAAGGTCACTTCTGGAGTGTAAACAGTTTACGGTCAACCTATTTTCCCTTAACTCAGTTGACAGCTTAGGTTGCTAAATCTCGTATAAAAACAGAGATTCACACCATAATCTGAAATGATTTCTGCAAATTTGATTTGACAACAGACGGGGCAATGGATACATCATTCACTGCACCAGATACTTACATACAGGAATTTAATCCAAAAGATTATTATAATTCATGCTATGCATTAGACGAAGGAGCAATGCTAAGCGAACGGACAGATTTTGTATTAAGAAATTTTCATGAAATCTTCTCTTCAGGTAATCTACTTGAATGTGAATAGTCTTTGAATAAAACTATTTTAAAACATAAAAAGTGAATGTGATAAAAAAAATGTAAAAAATAGATTGCTTTGTACTTTTTTTCTGAATCTATTTACTACCGTAAACAATACTTTTTTTTCCAAGGAGTCTCTATCTTTGTCTTATAAATATAGTTTGCTACTTGATATATTTCCTAGACCAGAAGTGGCCAAAAGATATTTATTCAGATGTAATGGGACTATAATTCACATGATTGTTTGTCGGTCTATATGAAGATCATCACGACCGTTGTAGTTTTGCACTCCTGGATTGGCTGGCTTTTTGGCCATCTGTGATCTTGAATGTCCTTCAAGACTTATGATTTTTGGACTTATTCACTAAAGTGAGGATTGCAGGAATTCAAAGTGAATTTCTAACTTAAGGCCAAAGCTCCCAAACTAGAAGCACAGCTGACTTGGAGATTGTTTTCATTTTGACATTAAATTTAAATTCCACTTTTAATTCCCAACAATTCTCCCTTTAACCCCTTAAGACCGGAGGGCGTACTATTACGTCCTCTAATAGGCGGCTCTAAACGCCGCCGGGCGTAATAGTACGCCCTCCGGTCTTTCTGTACTTACCCGGTCGCCGGCGGTCCCACGCCGGCGATCGCGGTGGGGGGGACTCCCAGGGAGCCCCCCGCGGCACGACCGTCCTCCAGGAAGCCCCCCGGCCGTGTGAGAGTGGGGTCCTAGCGAGGACCCCACAATCACATGGCCGGGGATAGCTGGCTTCTGTATTGCCAGCAGGGGGGCTGCCTGTAATGACAGGTGGTCCCCCTGCTGGCTGAAAATAAAAATGAAATAAATAAATAGTGTAAAAAAATAAATAATATATACTTAGATCATATATATATATTATATATATATGATCAAAGTATATATATACACATATACATACACACATGTACACCGTCTAGGTGTATTTTACTATTAATATATATATAATTATATATATATATTAATATCAAATTACACGTAGACTGATACTGATTAAATATATATATAATTATTGTTATATATATATTTATATATATTATAAAAAAAATTAAAATGTAAATACGTTAAAAAATAAAATTACAAAAATAATTAAAAATAAATAATTAAAAAATATATAGATGTGTGTTATTTCGTTCTAACTGTATTGTGAAATTAATATATATATATATATATCAAAATACACATAGAGCGAAATAATATATATATTTATACACATAAATATATACGTATATATCACTATATATATACCTATATATAAATAAAAATATTTTTAAAAAATTATATAGATATATACATATATATACACATACGTATATATATACATATATTGATTCTACATATATATTTATGTAATATTTTTACATAATTAGGTATCTTAATTAATTACAATTAGCAGGACCTGCATGACAACCCATGCCGAAAGTAAAGGGAATTTAATTTGCTAGCACTATATTTAACCCTATAACTTTCCGAGACACCATAAAACCTGTACATGGGGGGTACTGTTCTACTCGGGGACTTCGCTGAACACAAATATTAGTGTTTCAAAACAGTAAAATGTATTACAACGATGATATCGCCAGTAAAAGTGAAGTTTTTTGCATTTTTCACGCACAAACAGCATTAAACGGACAATATTATTGCTATGATACTTTTTACTGTTTTGAAACACAAATATTTGTGTTCAGTGAAGTCTCCCGAGTACAACAGTACCCCTCATGTACAGGTTTTATGGTGTTTTCAAAAGTTACAGCGTCAAATATAAGGCTTGCGTTTCATTTTTTTCACATTAAAATTTGCCAGATTGGTTACGGTGCCTTTGAGACCCTATGGTAGCCCAAGAATGAAAATTACCCTATGATGGCATACCATTTGCAATAGTAGACAACCCAAGGTATTGCAAACGGGGTATGTCCAGTCTTTTTTAGTAGCCACTTAGTCACAAACACTGGCCAAAATTGGCATTTTTTGCATTTTCACACACAAACAAATACTAACGCTAACTTTGGCCAGTGTTTGTGACCAAATGGCTACTAAAAAGACTGGACATACCCCATTTGCAATACCTTGGGTTGTCTACTATTGCAAATGGTATGCCATTATGGGTGTAAATTTCATTCCTGGGCTACTATACAGTCTCAAAGGCAACGTAACCAATCTGGCGAATTTCAATTTCAAATGTAACGTGCTATATTTGACCCTGTAACTTCCCAAAACGCCATAAAACCTGTACATAGGGGGTACTGTTTTACACGTGAGACTTTGCTGAATACAAATATGTGTATTTTATTGCAGTAAAAGCAAACAGTATTATGACACTGACCGTTTAAATGTCATGTAGAACTAAAAAAATCCAATAAAATCGTATTTTCTCCCATTTTTTTCATATTAAATTATGTTTCAGAGCTAAATATTTGATATTAAATGAAAGCCCTGTTTCCCCTGAATAAAATGATATATAATAAGGGTGGGTGCATTTACTATGAAAGAGGTGTATTACGGTTGGACAGACATGTAGCGCAAATGCCAGGTTTTTTTTACATTTTGTTTTGTTCACAACGTGTACATTTGGCTCCGTCCTTAAGGGGTTAATGGATAGCCCTGTTAGTTGCCATAGTAAGTGTGAGTTATATGCAGTTTTTTTGGTTCAATACAAATAGATCTGTAAGATTCTTTTATAATATTTAGTTCTCCACTTTTGCAAGTTATCTTTACCTTGCTGACAGTTATTTATATAGCAAATTGTTTTGAATGTTTTATTGCATTAACAAAACAAAGTTGTACAGGAAACATAGGTAGATATTGCTTCTCTCAGTTCCAAACTCATATATTGTCACAGTGGAGTACACACAATCCATGGGGCCCCAGTAAAAAAACGATCCGTGCCCCCCAACCGACACATACATACAGACACAGACATACATACAGACACACACACATACACACAGACACATACACACATACAGAGACACATATACATACAGACACACACATACAGACAGACACACACACACACATACAAATACACCCCCGACATACACATACATACACACAGACAGACACACACATACATACAGACAGACACACACATCTCCCCCCGACAGACATAAACACAGACACATACATACACACACACACACACACATACATACAGACACACACACACCCATACAGACACATACATACAGAGACACACACACATACATACGGAGATGCACACATACAGACACATACATACATACAGACACACACACATACAGAAAACATGTATGTATGTGTCTGTATGTATATGTGTGTATCTGTATGTATGTGTATGTGTGTGTATGTGTGCATCTCTGTATGTATGTGTCTGTATGTGTGTGTGTGTGTCTGTATGTATGTGTCTGTATGTGTGTGCCTCTGTATGTATGTGTCTGTATGATACAGACACATACATACAGAGTCACACACACATACAGACGCATACATACAGAGACACACACAGACACATACAGACACACACACACATACAGACACATACATACAGAGACACACACATACACACAGACAGACACACATACACATACATACACATACATACAGAGACACACACATACATACAGACAGACACACACATCTCCCTCCGACAGACATAAACACAGACACATACATACACACACACACATACATACATACATACACACACACACCCATACAGACACATACATACAGAGACACACACACATACATACGGAGATGCACACATACATACACATACATACATACAGACACACACACATACAGAAAACATGTATGTATGTATGTGTATGTGTGTATGTGTGTGTATGTGTGCATCTCTGTATGTATGTGTCTGTATGTGTATGTGTCTGTATGTATGTGTCTGTATGTGTGTGCCTCTGTATGTATGTGTCTGTATGATACAGAGACACACACATACACACAGACAGACACACAGACACATACATACAAACACACACATATACAAAATGTTTAAGGACTGTTTCCTACCTTTTGCAGGAGGGCGACTTTCCCTGGGGTCCAGTGGGGGCTCAGCCTGATGGGCTCAGCCTGATGGGCTCAGCCTGATTTTTCCTTCCTCCCGCGTGGCTCTCTGATAGCTGGTAGGAGTGACCGGGGCAGTCACTTCCTCCCAGCTCTGTCTGACATCATCACAGGGGCCCCCTGGAAATCCATACCCATCGGGTGACCCTAACAGCATGGGCCACTTGATGGGCCCCTTCATGGCGGTGGGCGGGTACCTGGTCGCAGTGGCTCGCTGGGCGGCCATGCTCCCTGGAGATTTACTTGTGTATAAGGGAGGGAGAGATAGGTGGGAGCAGCATTATGTAGAGATTTGAAAGCAAGAACCAGAATTTTAAATTGAGCTCTGTATTTTATAGGAAGCCAATATAGGGACTGACAGAAGGGTGAGGCATGGGTGGTGCGGGCGGACAGGAAGATGAGCCTCGCCGCCGCATTCATTATGGACTGAATGGAGCAAGTTGGGAGCATGTAAGACCACTGAGAAGTGGATTACAATAGTCAAGGCGAGAAAGGACAGTGGAATGGACCAACACCTTAGTCGCATCTGGCGTTAAGTAGGGGCGGATGCGCGCAATGTTTTTGAGATGGAAATGACAGGACTTGGTGATAGATTGAACATGAGGCTTGAAGGAGAGGTCGGATTCAAAGAGAACACCTAGATCAGTCAAAATGCTTTTCACTCTCCTCTGAGCTAATTTGGTCAGCTTTAAGTCAGTCTCAGGAATCTGTCATTTTTAAATAGCATATAGACCAATGGTCTGGTTATATAATCGTCTTCCATTAGTCTGCAGTTTGTAGACATTACACTTTTTCTAGATTAGATTTATGGTCTGTTTGTTAAAGAAGCAATGTCAGTCATCATATATAATGAGTTTGCCAGATTGCACAAGAGATGGAGCTGTATCAGGTCTACACACATGTAGAATAAAGTACAGTTTGTCCCTGTTTATGCAGGGCTGCATAATTAACCAAGTCTTGTTCTAAAATAAAATTTTCTGTACTTTTATTCTGATCTAATTCCTTAATTTGTTACAGATAAAGTTTATTGGCTGGCATTAACTGGAATCCTGCTTAAGTTCTTTCAGCAAACAACCAGCATGGCTAACATAAAAGTAAACAAATTCTTCAAGCGATAATGTTGAGCATTATTTTAGTGGCATTAATGAGAGAACATTTGTCCCATGATGTATAAACACTGCTTGTATTAGCGGGTGATTAGGTTTAGGATAAAGGTGTAAACAAGGTTAGGGCTAAAGAGTAATTAGTGTTAAGGTACCCAAAAAATCTTAACTCCATGTTGGTGAGGGGTACACTTGAAATATCAGTCTGTGAAAGCCTTGGACTTACTGCAGGCCGGCAATCTTGGTCTTAGGCATTCCCCAAGTCTACCCTGATGACTGAGCTGGGAACCACTGATTTAAAAGACTATCTATATGGTATTAGGAGTATACATTGTTGAAACATGTCGTTTTGCTTAGTCAACATTTTTGCACACCAGCTGCAGCCCAAGCCAGGGAACACAATTGAACTTTTAGTAAAAAGTATAAGCAAATATAATATATTAGCATAGTACACATTTCCTGACACTGTAATAAAATAAAAAAACAACCAAGCACATCTACCTACATGGAGGTTGGATTTTATAACCTTGTTCCCAGATGATCAACCTTGATCGTTATATATTTTGAATTCTTGATGGGCAAATCAATAAGAAATATGTTGTTCTAATTTCTTATAGTTAACCTTTATTTCCAGTGATGTCAAATATTTCTGTAGGGTAATTAGGAAAAACAAAACATAAATAGAACATGTTTAAAAAAAAAAAAAGATAAATTATATAATTTACCCATTGTTAAAAGTAAAACAAAATAATCAAATATTGGCATTTGCAAGTAAATATTTTGTTTAGTGGTAATGGGGTGAATAGCAGATATAGAACAGAGGAACATTCAAATGTATTTATAGCAATATGTATTTCTTTCTTTTTTGAACCTTTAACCCCTTAAGGACTGAGCCAAATGTACACGTTGTGAACAAAACAAAATGTAAACAAAACCTGGCATTTGCGCTATATGTCTGTCCAACATTAATTCACCTCTTTCATATTAAATGCACCCACACTTATTATATATCATTTTAATCAGGGGAAACAGGGCTTTCATTTAATATTTAGCTATGAAACATAATTTAATATGAAAACAATGGGAGAAAATAAGAAATTTAATTTTTTTAGTTCTACATGACATTTTAACTGTCAATGTCATAATACTGTTTGCTTTTACTGCAATAAAATACACATATTTGTATTCAGCAAAGTCTCACGTGTAAAACAGTACCACCTATGTACAGGTATTATGGTGTTTTGGGAAGTTACAGGGTCAAATATAGCACATTACATTTGAAATTGAAATTTGCCAGATTGGTTACATTGCCTTTGGAACTGTATAGTAGCCCAGGAATTAAATTTACACCCATAATGGCATACCATTTGCAATAGTAGACAACCCAAGGTATTGCAAATGGGGTATGTCCAGTCTTTTTTAGTAGCCATTTGGTCACAAACACTGGCCAAAGTTAGAGTTAGTATTTTTTTGTGTGTGAAAATGCAAAAAATGCCAATTTTGGATCGCCGGCAACCGAGTAAGTAAAAAAAACACGGAGGGCATACTATTACGCCCGGCGGCATTTAGAGCCGCCTAAAATAGGGTGTAATAGTACACCCTCCGGTCTTAAGGGGATAATTAAGTCACAATCACATGGCCGGGTTAGCTGGCTGCTGCATTGCCAGCAGGGGGACTGCCGGTAATGACAGTTAGTCCCCCTGCTGGCTGGAAATCAAATAAAATAAAGTCGAAATCAGTGTAAAAAAAATTATATACTTAGATCATATATATATATATATATATATACACACATATACATAAATGCACATACACTGTGTAGGTGTATTTTACTATTAATATATATATAATTATATATATATTAATATCAAATTACACGTAGACTGATTAAATATATATATATATATATATATATAATTATTTATATATATATTTATATATAATATAAAAAAATGTAAATACATTAAATATAAATAAAAATGAATAATAAATAAATAATTAAAATATATATAGATGTGTGTTATTTAATTCTAACTGTATTGTGATATTAATATATATATATGTATATCAAAATACACGTAGAACAAAATAATATATATATCTATATACATAAATATATACGTATATATCACTATATATATATACCTATATATAAATAAAAACATTTTTTTTAAATTATATATATATTATAATTATAAAAGTATATACATATATTAATTCTACATATATATTTATGTAATATTTTTACATAATTAGGTATTTTAATTCATTACAATTAGCGGGACCTGCCTGACAACCCATGCCGAAAGTATAGGGAATTTAATTTGCTAGCACTATATTTAACCCTATAACTTTCCAAGACACCATAAAACCTGTGCATAGGGGGTACTGTTTTACACGTGAGACTTTGCTGAATACAAATATGTGTATTTTATTGCAGTAAAAGCAAACAGTATTATGACATTGACAGTTAAAATGTAATGTAGAACTAAAAAAATTAACAAAATATTATTTTCTCCCATTTGTTTCATATTAAATTATGTTTCACAGCTAAATATTTGATATTAAATGAAAGCCCTGTTTCCCCTGAATAAAATGATATAATAAGGGTGGGTGCATTTACTATGAAAGAGGTGAATTACGTTGGACAGGCATGTAGCGCAAATGCCAGGTTTTGTTTACATTTTGTTTTGTTCACAACGTGTACATTTGGCTCAGTCCTTAAGGGGTTATACCTTCATTCTTTTGTATAAATAATAATATATATTTTATCTTAAAAGGAGTTGTTAAAGGAAATACACTGATAGATATCGGTGCTGGATCAGCAATCTTTGAACTCCTCTCAGCTTGTGAAGTCTTTACCAATATTATAATTTCTGACTTCCTGGAGCAAAATCTCACCGAATTAAAAAAATGGCTGACAAAGGACTCCAATATGTTGGACTGGACCTCATATGTAAAGTTTGTTTGTGATCTAGAAGGGAAAAGGTACGATCAATCCAATAATGAAGATGTGAAATTGTGATTAAACATAACTCAAATGATATGTAAACATAACCCGAGACTGTATATTTCTAAAATTGCTTCCCTTCCAAATATAGTTTGTTTGTTTTTTGAATTAGACATAGAAGCATTGCAAATTCAAAAACAAATTGCAAAGTTTAGACAAAAAGTGCTGATTTAAAAAAAAAAAAATCTAACCCAGTTACAGTCACACCATGGGTATTTTAGTCTTATAATTTGTAATTTAGTTTCAATTCACTATAATCCAACATTTAGTGAATAAATGCCAATGTTAGTCCTTTATTTTTATGGTTTGTAGTGTATGGAACTATAACTTGAGAGCATCAAAGGGTTCATATATGTCAATTTGCTGAGACCACTCTGTCTCCAGATGACTTTGTGTGGTGGATCAGAAAATCTGTTCTTCAACTACACAGATATTTCTTCTCTAATATTATATTATATATCATTTATATAATATTAAATCAATATTAATTAAATCAAGGCCCAAGCTAGTAGCTTGAACAATTAACAGAACTGTCAGGGTATGGGACATCAAACATTGGAAATATTATATAAATGTTGAGGGAAAATTGGCATGTACACTGACTGGCCAAAAAAAAAGTCACCACCAAAAAAAAAAGGTCACACACTCTAACATTTCCTTGTAGCACCTTTAGCTTTGATTATGGCATGCACTTGCTGTGGCATTGTTTCGATAAGCTTCTGCAATATCACAAGATATATTTCGGTCCAGTGTTGCATTAGTTTTTCACCAAGATCTTGTACTGATGATGGGAGAGTCGGACCACTGTGCAAAGCCTTCTCCAGCACATCCCAAAGATTCGCAGTTCTGGAATCTGTGGTGGCCAATCCATGTGTGAAAATGTTGTCTCATGCTCCCTGAACCACTCTTACACAATTTGAGCCAGGTGAATCCTGGCATTGTCACTTTGGAATATGCCGTGCCATCAGGGAAGAAAAAATCCATTGATGGAATAACCTGGTCATTCACTATATTCAGGTAGTCAGCTGACCTCATTCTTTGGGCACATAATGTTGTTGAACCTAGACCTGACCAACTGCAGCAACCCCAGATCATAGCACTACCCCTACAGGTTTGTACAGTAGGCACTAGGCATGATGGGTGCATCACTTCATCTGCCTCTCTTCTAACCCTGATGCACCCATCACTCTGGAATAGGGTAAATCTAGACTCATAAGACCACATGACCTTCTTCCATTGCTCCAGAGTCCAATTTTTATGCTCCCTAGCAAATTAAAGACATTTTTCCGATTAGCTTCACTTATTAGTGGCTTTCTTAAGGCTACACGGCTGTTCATTCCAAATCCCTTGAGTTCCGGTCGCATTGTGCGTGTGGAAATGCTCTTACTTGCACTGTTAAACATAACCCATAGTCTTATAATTTGTAATTTAGTTTCAATTCACTATAATCCAACATTTAGTGAATAAATGCCAATGTTAGTCCTTTATTTTTATGGTTTGTAGTGTATGGAACTATAACTTGAGAGCATCAAAGGGTTCATATATGTCAATTTGCTGAGACCACTCTGTCTCCAGATGACTTTGTGTGGTGGATCAGAAAATCTGTTCTTCAACTACACAGATATTTCTTCTCTAATATTATATTATATATCATTTATATAATATTAAATCAATATTAATTAAATCAAGGCCCAAGCTAGTAGCTTGAACAATTAACAGAACTGTCAGGGTATGGGACATCAAACATTGGAAATATTATATAAATGTTGAGGGAAAATTGGCATGTACACTGACTGGCCAAAAAAAAAGTCACCACCAAAAAAAAAAGGTCACACACTCTAACATTTCCTTGTAGCACCTTTAGCTTTGATTATGGCATGCACTTGCTGTGGCATTGTTTCGATAAGCTTCTGCAATATCACAAGATATATTTCGGTCCAGTGTTGCATTAGTTTTTCACCAAGATCTTGTACTGATGATGGGAGAGTCGGACCACTGTGCAAAGCCTTCTCCAGCACATCCCAAAGATTCGCAGTTCTGGAATCTGTGGTGGCCAATCCATGTGTGAAAATGTTGTCTCATGCTCCCTGAACCACTCTTACACAATTTGAGCCAGGTGAATCCTGGCATTGTCACCTTGGAATATGCCGTGCCATCAGGGAAGAAAAAATCCATTGATGGAATAACCTGGTCATTCACTATATTCAGGTAGTCAGCTGACCTCATTCTTTGGGCACATAATGTTGTTGAACCTAGACCTAGCAACCCCAGATCATAGCACTACCACTACAGGGTTGTACAGTAGGCACTAGGCATGATGGGTGCATCACTTCATCTGCCTCTCTTTTAACCCTGATTCACCCATTACTCTGGAATAGGGTAAATCTGGACTCATAAGACCACATGACCTTCTTCCATTGCTCCAGAGTCCAATCTTTATGCTCCCTGGCAAATTAAAGACATTTTTCCGATTAGCTTCACTTATTAGTGGTTTTCTTAAGGCTACACGGCTGTTCATTCCAAATCCCTTGAGTTCCGGTCGCATTGTGCTTGCGGAAATGCTCTTACTTGCACTGTTAAACATAACCCTGAGTTCTACTGTTGTTTTTTTACAATTTGGTTTCACCAAACGTTTAAGTGATCGCCAATCACTATCAACCAGGATTTTTTTCCGACCCCTTTTTTTCCTCAAAGACAATAATTCCCCACTATCATTCCAGTTTTTAATAATCCGTTGCACAGTTCTTAACCCAATAGTTTTCTCTACCTGCATGCCAATGATTTGACCTTTCTCAAACAGAATATTCAACATGTTTTTTTAAGAAATGGGAAGCTACTTATTGCATCAGTTGGGGTAAAATAACTTGTTGCCAGCAGAAAAATAATCGCCCATGCAGTAACTAACAATCCAACAGGAGGCTTTTTACAGGTGGCGACTATAGTTTGGCCAGGCAGTGAATTTTATAATGCTTTGTGTGGATCAAATCAGATGGGCTTTTAGGTGTTGTACAATGAAGAAAATAATGCAAATTATATATTTTCTCTGTTATCTGTAGATCAGTAATATTATTTACATACATATCAGAGCTCTTTCATAATTAATATCAATTTCTGTTTTCTAGTGTTTATTTGGAGAATAAGGAAGAAAAACTCCGCAAAAGTGTGAAGCAAGTTTTGAAATGTGACGTACTGAAGAAGAATCCATTTGAGCCACTTGTTCTGCCACCAGCTGATTGTCTAATAAGTTGTTTCTGCTTAGAGTCTGCATGTAAGGATGTGGCTACCTATTGTAACACCCTTAAAAGCCTTAAGGACTTGCTCAAACCAGGAGGCCATATCATAGTTCAGAGTGGATTAAATGGTACATTTTATTATGTTGGGGAAAAAAAGTTTTATGGCTTGACAACAACAAAGGAAGATATTGAGAAGGCTTTTATAGAAGCTGGGTATGAAATTGTGAAATTCACAGTGAAACCGTCCAAGCCTGGGTCACACAACTCCGATTACGACAGCATGTACTGCGTCCATGCCCGAAAGCCATGCAGTCTATAACATTTTTACACATAATGGCAGTTGTGAGTTTTAACTTTTAACAGAGAAAAAAAACGTGTTTAAGATGATAAGTGCATTCAAATACGATTTATCAATTGATCACAATTTGATGTTTAATCATGATGCAGATGCACAATATATTAGTGGACATTTCACTTTGCAAGCACATATTTATTTGTAAATAACCACCAGAAATCCAAATACAATTTCCTCTCCCACTCTTACAAATAGCACAACAGATATCTTTTTAGCTATGTAATCTCAAATGTTACTGTTCACTGAAATTTGTGGAATCTTCAATTTAGAACTTGGCAAGTGACACATGTCCATATATGATCTCCATATAGCACATTAGATTTCATGGAAGCCTTTACTTACAAAAACACAATCACTACTACAATGTTTAGACTATTACTTCTAATGATCAGCTTTAATAAATCTATGTATCAGAGTATGAATTATTTTGCAAATGATCTTAATTGCAAACATTTGCTTTTGATAGCGATCTCTAATCCATTCAGGTTCCTGCAATGTTATTTTAAGATATATAAATATTTTTCTAGCAAATATAATTAGCGAAGGCATGATCAATAAACATTGGTGGAAAAAATATTTTATCAAACTTCTTAAAAATAATAAACCTCTATACCGTTTTATTAAAAAGTACAACTTCCGGGCATCGGACGTGTAATGTTTAATTTACTGTTTTGTCTTATATTTAAAAACCACAGCCTCATTTACCAGTTGTTTTGCTACCTCAAGTACAGTATATTTTTGCTGATGCTTGAAGTATCTATCATTTTATTCTCATCATTTTGTACAACTTTTAATGACTGTGAATAAAGGAAGATTGACAACAAAAAGTAAAACTCCACAATAGGGTAGTATTTGGGATCCCTGTAAGTTCCGTTTTCAAATTAGTTATCTTCCTAATGGCCCATCAGTTCTCCATTCCAAGCATCCTTTTCCCCCGAAGAGTTATATGAAAGACCAGGGGGACCTGTCTCGTATGCTTCCTGTATAGAAGTTTAGCAGTAGTTAGTATAAGTATGACATCATATTTGGCTTCTTCATTATGTATACAGCCGATCACTGAGACATACCTTCAGACACTACCCTCAGCACAGATATAAATGAGATCTGATCAATGAATACGTGGAATGAAATGGGAAACCTCAAAACAACCCTGACAAGAAACATCATTATTTACCACTTTGTTACATCGTGGAAAATTAGGTTTAGTTGGGTATTTTCACAGAAAAAAATATATAACCACTACATATGCAACGGTGAACCCCCACTTAAACAGTGTGCCCTCTATACACCAAACTATATGACAATAAAGTAGGGTGTAGATAAGAGAAATTATATCTCCTAGATTTTAGGAGGTGATTCAACAAAGGGAATGTATCCAGTAACTAGTTACCTAGTTTTTACCTTGGTCTTCCAGGAATAAAACTACGCCTGATGTGAAACAGATCCTTCTTACACACTGATACTTACACGATGGGCTTGAAATCATCCAGGTTCTTGTGAGTGCAATTTATAATTTACAGGTCAAGTGGTACCTGACGATATAATCCTTATGTTGATTTTGTTTCCCTTCTAGATATCTGAATACATTCCCTTTGTTGCCAATTAAGGTGGTATCACCTCCTAAATTTAGCAGATTTTATTTATCTTACCTGCACCGTACTTATTTGTCATTTAGTTTCTTAGTTGGGTAATTTGCTAAAGTGAGAATTCAAAGTATTTTTTGGTATTTTTTTTAATCAGATGTTTTGCAATTAAACTGTTGTGTATTATTTAGTTGAGATTTAGCTAGGGTCACTTTTCCTGTTTTTATTTTTTATTTTTTTAAGAATGGGGTCTAGGCTGTGAGCCAAGGCCAGACTAGGAAAAAAACAAGTTGGCGTTATTTTTTATCACAGTTGCCCAGTGAGAAGGGGGCAGTGCCAGAAGGTGGGGGTTGTCAGCACCAATGGCAAGCTTGCCCCTGTCAACCTCAAAGTGAGCTCATTAAATTAATGCTCTTCCAGGGAAGACCATGCGCAGACACCTGCTGAAGAGAAAAAGCTCAAGCACAAGTACATTTAATGACACAATTTCACTGAGTTTACTTGGGACTTGTCTCTGGCGTCTCCATAACTTGGATACCAAAGGACAAACGGGCCAAGAAAACATATTGTGCATGTATTTGGAGGATGCTTATTGGATTGCATGTGTGTAGAGTCAGCTGATTGTTATGTGGCGTTTTGTGTAAATAGGTCGGTTTCAGTTGTGTTGTGTGTGGTGTAATATCTGTGGCTTGAGGCTGTATAGAGTGATGGTGTGTGTGTATACGGGAATAGTGTGTGTAAGCAGTGTGTGTGTGTAAGTGGTCCAGTGTGTATAAGGAGTGTTGTGTCAATAGGGGATTTAATGTGTAGTTTGGTACAGTGTGTAAGGGATGCAGTCAGAGACCGATCCAATCTTGGAAGGGGCACTTTGCCCAGTTTGGCCAAGATGAGTTGAAAAATAAATAAGTAGTGTAGCATACATGGCATGAAATTAAACAGTTATCATATGGTACAAAGCAATGATATGGGAGACAACTAGAACAAGGATTTTTTGTGTAAGGTAATATGGAGATCCAGGCTATACTGGGCCACTAGAACAGCTTCAACCTTGCAGGATTGCCATGAAGAAATACAAAATAGCTAAAAATGTTATAGACAAAACAACATGAGGTAAAAGACCCCCTACACTGGCCCACTTGTGGCAGTTCATATATTCCCTGTGCTGGGAGGATACATACACTCAGACACAGGGTCCTGCAGCCGAAATGAGTGGAGAGAGCTACCATAATGCCTTCAACATCATTCCTGGTTGAGATTCAAAGCCCACGCTGGAGTCTCAGTAACCAAGTATTCACCTGCCGCTGCGACTATAAGCCAGATAAGTCTTGTGAAGTGCCTGCACTCATACTTGCTCTGTCTGCAGAGCTCCAGCAAAGAGAGACGTGAGTAGAGGAGAGTATTGGAGATCTTAGGAGCTAGAGCACGGGTCTCCCATCTGAGTGGTTGCCCATGGCCTTCTGTTCTAATTGTTTTTCATTTATTTATTTTCGTATTTCAGACACATACCTGGCTTATGTATTTTACCTGGTGCTTCTTGTTTCTAGCCTAGGTATTCTTGTCATCATAAATATCTCCTCCCTTGTTCCCTCTTATCAAGCCCCATTCCTCATCTCTGTATTTAATAAATTCTATTCTTTGTTTAATAGATTTATGGGTTTAAAAAGAGAGGAGACAGATGAGATAGTGTGCTTAAGCTCTAGTCCCTCCCACCCCCTCCAACCCTACATTATCTAGCTTCTTGTTATAGATTTTTAGTTGTTAATTTATTTTAACTACCTGTCCTTGGAGAGAGAGATCGCACCGTTATGTATGGTGTTATATGATTTATTGTTCCATCCTTTATTATATGCCCATTTCATGGGATCTTCAGAGTCCATATGAACTTTTACACAGTTATGGCGGTTGTTGAGTTGTAGATTCCAATTTATTTATCCATGTGTCCTAATCCTCTATCTGAGTGTATCTGTTTCCTATGTTCATCAGTATACCCCTTTCCATTTTCGCTTGCCATATGACTTGAGTTATTAATTCTTGGATATGTGGAATTGTCACAGTTTTCCAATTACGTGCTAGTAGGAGTTTAGCGGCCATAATGATATGTATTGTTACCATTTGTACTTTAGGTTTAATAAAACTACTTCAGGCTTAAATCCTATTTTCATTCCAGTTATTTGATAAATTACATTCATTACATTCTTTCAATATTGACTTATAGGAGTTCAATGCCACCAACTGTGGATCAGATTACCTTCATTACATTGCATTTCCAACACCTGTCTGATGTCTCTGGAAAGATTCTATTTAAACGTGTAGATGTCAAATACCATCTATTAGCAAGTTTAAATTGTGTTTCTGTGAGAATTAGGCAATGTATATGTTTGTATACTTTATTTAGGGAGCGTATCCATTCTTCTTCTTCTATGGATACATGTAGTTCTTTTTCCCATTTATTAATCAATACTTTTGGTTTATCATGTCTCCATCCATATATAGCTTTGGCACATTTTGCCAATAGATTTTTGTAATTCTTTAGTTCCAAAAGATGTCTGAGTTTTATATTTTTCTCCTCCTTGTTCTTGGATAAATATTCAGAAATGAAGCCCTTGATTCTCAGGTAATTGAAGGTTTCATTCCTGGAGATGTTGATTTGCCTAAAGGGTTTAATTTTATTCTCCACTATTATATTTTTGGATCCCGTGATCCCCCGGTTTTCCATGTGTCTATTTTTATATTTTCCAGCATGTCTGAAATCATAGAGAATGGAAGCACCTCTATTATTTTATTTCTAAATCCTATATAGAATGTGATTTTTATCCCACCAGCTCGTAAGTTCTTTGAGTATCTGTGATTTGCTCCGTGCATTTTCAATCGCTTTTTTGTTCAGATCTAAAACCCAAAATAGTGAGGACAAATTGTTTACCCCTGTTCTTGTTTTTTCCATATTGTACCAAGTTTCTTTGGTTGCCATTAGTGATGTCCCGAACGGTTCGCCGAACAGTTCGCCACGGATGGCGAACATATTCGCTGTTTGGTCCGCCCCCTATTTGTCATCATTGAGTGAACTTTGACCCTGTACCTCACAGTCAGCAGACACATTCCAGCCAATCAGCAGCAGACCCTCCCTCCCAGACCCTTCCACCTCCTGGACAGCTCACTACGAATGCAGCTTCACAATGAATGTAAACTGGATGCTGTCCAGGAGGTGGGAGGTGGGTGTATTTTATTGTTTTGGCAGTACTTTGTGTGCAGCAAGAATGCCGCCCTTTTATTATATAAATAATTACTAATTGTATAAATTGAATAATATCAAATGTGAGATAGATAGTTTAATGGGTAAATTTTACGAACACACTTTTAACAGCGCAAACAAACCTTGATCAT